AACACACACCACTGGCCCTACGTGGGGATCAGGAACAGGCCGGACCGGACTGGCAACACACGCCAGTACCTCTCGCCGTGCCTCTACATCTTCCACCCCCTCTTCGACCAGTGGCCCCCGTAACCTGGCGGCCTCCTCTGCCAATCCGCTGGGCCGCTCTGCCGCGGTCTCCTGCTGGCCCGTCGTCTACGGCGTTAGCCCCCCCCTAAAAATTTTCTGGGCGTCTCCCCTACCCGTGGACCAGGTCTCCATGTCCCTCGCCAGCCTTTCGCCCTTCTGCCATAATGTCAAGCCCTTCTCTTCCTCACTCGGCTTGACCCAGTCTACTACACCTGTTGTATTCGGCGCATGTGACAAATACAATTTTATTTTATTTTATTTATAGTGCAATTAATGTATTGTTTAGTGTTGTGTAGGTGCTTTGCCCCACCAAGATTTACATGCTAAAATCGCCACTGAGGACCACAAGTACAAATTCCATCTAGACGCCGTTGCCCTAGAGCACACAGAAAATGATACATACCTCGGCCTAAACATCAGCACCACAGGTAACTTCCAGAAAGCGGTGAACGATCTGATATACAAGGCAAGAAGGGCCTTCTATGCCATCAAAAGGAACATAAAATTCGACATACCAATTCGGATCTGGCTAAAAATACTTGAATCAGTTACAGAACCCATTGCCCTTTATGGTTGTGAGGTCAAGAATTCACAAAATGGGACAAACACCAAATTGAGACTCTGCATACAGAATTCTGCAAAAATATCCTCAGAGTCCAACGTAAAACACCAAATAATGCATGCATAGCAGAATTAGGCCGATACCCGCTAATGATCAAAATCCAGAAAAGAGACGTTAAATTCTACAACCACCTAAAAGGAAGCGATTCCCAAACCTTCCATAACAAAGCCATCACCTACAGAGAGATGAACCTAGAGCGTCCCCTAAGTAAGCTGGTCCTGGGGCTCTGTTCACAAACACAAACAGACCCCACAGACCCCCAGGACAGCAACACAATTAGACCCAACCAAATCATGAGAAAACAAACAGATAATTACTTGACACATTGGAAAGAATTAACAAAAAAACAGAGCAAACTAGAATGATATTTGGCCCTAAACAGAAAGTACACAGTGGCAGAATACCTGACCACTGTGACTGACCCAAAATTAAGGAAAGCTTTGACTATGTACAGACTCAGTGAGCATAGCCTTGCTATTGAGAAAGGCCGCCGTAGAAAGACCTGGCTCTCAAGAGAAGACAGGCTATGTGCGCACTGCCCACAAAATGAGGTGGAAACTGAGCTGCACTTCCTAACCTCCTGACAAATGTATGACCATATTAGAGACACATATTTCCCTCAGATTACACAGATCCACAAAGAATTTGGAAATAACTACAATTTTGATCAACTCTCATATCTATTGGGTGAAATACCAGTGTGCCATCACAGCATTTGTGACCTGTTGCCACAAGAAAAGGGCAACCAGTGAAGAACAAACACCATTGTAAATACAACCCATATTTATGTTGATTTATTTTCCCTTTTGTACTTTAACTATTTGCACATTGTTATAACACTGTTTATAGACATAATATGACATTTGAAATGTCTTTATTCTTTTGGAACTTCTGAGTGTAATGTTTACTGTTAATATTTATTGTTTATTTCACTTGCTTTGGCAATGTAAACATACAGTGGGGAGAACAAGTATTTGATACACTGCCGATTTTGCAGGTTTTCCTACTTACAAAGCATGTAGAGGTCTGTAATTTGTATCATAGGTACACTTCAACTGTGAGACACGGAATCTAAAAAATCACATTGTATGATTTTTAAGTAATTATTTTGCATTTTATTGCATGACATAAGTATTTGATCACCTACCAACCAGTAAGAATTCCAGCTCTCACAGACCTGTTAGTTTTTCTTTAAGAAGCCCTCCTGGTCCTCACTCATTACCTGTATTAACTGCACCTGTTTGAACTCGTTACCTGTATAAAAGACACCTGTCCACACACTCAATTAAACAGACTCCAACCTCTCCACAATGGCCAAGACCAGAGAGCTGTGTAAGGACATCAGGGATAAAATTGTAGACCTGTACAAGGCTGGGATGGGCTACAGGACAATAGGCAAGCCGCTTGGTGAGAAGGCAACAACTGTTGGTGCAATTATTAGAAAATTTAAGAAGTTCAAGATGACGGTCAATCACCCTCGGTCTGGGGCTCCATGCAAGATCTCACCTCGTGGGGCATCAATGATCATGAGGAAGGTGAGGGATCGGCCCAGAACTACACGGCAGGACCTGGTCAATGACCTGAAGAGAGCTGGGACCACAGTCTCAAAGAAAACCATTAGTAACACACTACGCCGTCATGGATTAAAATCCTGCAGCGCACGCAAGGTCCCCCTGCTCAAGCCAGCGCATGTCCAGGCCCGTCTGAAGTTTGCCAATGACCATCTGGATGATCCAGAGGAGGAATGGGAGAAGGTCATGTGGTCTGATGAGACAAAAATAGAGCTTTTTGGTCTAAACTCCACTCGCCGTGTTTGGAGGAGGAAGAAGGATGAGTACAACCCCAAGAACACCATCCCAACCGTGAAGCATAGAGGTGGAAACATCATTCTTTGGGGATGCTTTTCTGCAAAGGGGACAGGATGACTGCACCGTATTGAGGGGAGGATGGATGGGGCCATGTATCGTGAGATCTTGGCCAACAACCTCCTTCCCTCAGTAAGAGCATTGAAGATGGGTCATGGCTGTGTCTTCCAGCATGACAAAGACCCGAAACACACAGCCAGGGCAACTAAGGAGTGGCTCCGTAAGAAGCATCTCAAGGTCCTGGAGTGGCCTAGCCAGTCTCCAGACCTGAACCCAATAGAAAATCTTTGGAGGGAGCTGAAAGTCTGTATTGCCCAGCGACAGCCCCGAAACCTGAAGGATCTGGAGAAGGTCTGTATGGAGGAGAGGGCCAAAATCCCTGCTGCAGTGTGTGCAAACCTGGTCAAGACCTACAGGAAACGTATGATCTCTGTAATTGCAAACAAAGGTTTCTGTACCAAATATAAAGTTCTGCTTTTCTGATGTATCAAATACTTATGTCATGCAATAAAATGCAAATTATTACTTAAAATCATACAATGTGATTTTTCTGGATTTTTGTTTTAGATTCCGTCTCTCACAGTTGAAGTGTACCTATGATAAAGATTACAGACCTCTACATGCTTTATAAGTAGGAAAACCTGCAAAATCGTCAGTGTTCTCCCCACTGTATGTTTCCCATGCCAATAAAGCCCTTTGAATTACTTGAATAGAGAGAGAGAGAGAGGAGAGAGAGAGAGAGAGAGGAGGAGATAGAGAGAGAGAGAGAGAGAGAGAGGAGAAAGATAGCTCAACCAATAGAGATAGTGAGAGATACACAACAAGATATAGAGATAGATAGAAGAGAGAAAGAGGAGAGAGAGAGAGAGAGGAAGAAGAGAGTAGCGAGAGAGAGAGAGAGAGAGAGAGAGAAGAAGAGAGGAGAACAAGAGAGAGGAGGACAAGAAGAGAGAGAGATTAGAAGAAGAGGAGGGGAGAGAACGATTAACACAGGAGAAAATCAACCAGAGAAAAAATTTAAAACAGAAAGGGTATCAACACAGAGAGAGAACATTAACACAGGAAGAGGAAATCAACACAGAAAAAAAAAGAACAAAACGAAAATTTTTTAACACAAGGAAGAAGATCAACACAAAGAGAACATTAACCAAAAATCAACCAAAGAAACATTTTAACACAGAAGAGGAGATCACAAGAGAGAAAGGATCGCCCAGGAAGAGGGAGATCACACAGGAGAGAACATAAAACCCGGAGAGAGGGAGACCACACAAGGAGAGAGAGATCGACACAGGAGAGAGAGATCAACACCCAAAAAGAGCGGAATCGACACAGGAGAAAGAATCAAAAAACAAGAAAAGATCGAACATAGTAATTGCCAGACAGTTCAGCGTTCGCAATAGGTTTTGGTGCTAAGTTCTACCACAGCTGCCAAAACTTTTAAAAAATAATTGTCTATTCCCGGGCATCTTGAAAAAGAGCAGGATTGTATGAAATTAAAATGCTGAGAAGTAGCTAAAAAAAGGGGTGGGATCAGGGAGAATCCACAAAATCAATGGTCACCAAGAGACAGAAAGAGGCAGAAACCAAAATATTGAATGAGACAAAATTCACTACGTTTCTAACGTGACCTGTCAAAGCAAACCACCATACGTCCATCAAACATTGTTTCCACATAACCAATGACAGAACTGTGGAGCAAACCTTTCTGTAGGAGCAAAACCTTTAAAGGGAATTAGGTCCAAGCAGGGAAAAACAGGCGTGTCAATGCTGGAGGACCGGAGACGGAGGACCAGAGGGGAAGAGATGGAGAGGTGGAGAGATGAAGCGAGGAAGATAAGGGGAAAGAGAAATGGATGAGAAGCAGAGATGGAGAAAATGGTTGAGATTTAAGTTAGCAGGGCATGGAGCCCGTCAAGGGAAAGGTATGGGTATTTTGCTGTTTTACTTGGGTGGTTTTTAAAGGGGGGTTTCTTTTTTGTGGCTAAGGGGAAATAGATGGGGGATGAGAGTTTTGGGGGGCGGGAAAGTGCATTAAAGGTGGAAGATGGAGAAGGAGATGGCTGGATGCTGAGAAGGTGAGCAGGTACCTACCTATTCATGATCAGATACACACGACCATTGACTTTAGCATGACTGTGTGAGGAGAGGTAGGAATGGAGAGAGGAGGAGGAGGAGGAGAGATGAAAGAGAGAAGAGAAGTCGAGAGTAGAGCTGGATAATAAGGAACATGAAGGACATAGATAGACATTGACACAGACCACTACAGCTCCAGGATTTCTCTGTAGGTGTTATATATTAGAGAGAACAAAGTAAATAAGGTAGATACATGATAAAACACCATCCAGCCAATCCAAACTCTGGTCTAAAGAGCTGAAAGATTGCTGGTCAGCCCATCAGAAAGATTGAACGGGAAAGCAAAACTAATGCAACTCAGTACAGTTGTAGCTGGAACTTTGCCTGAGACGACCTGAAGACTCAGGTTGCCTCCCCACACAAACACCTAGACTTAAGCTCAGTGGGTTAACACAGTCTAGAGACGTACCAGGGTTCGAACCCCAGTCACACACACAGCTCATCTAGAAATGCAGCTGTGACTCAAGTTAGCTCCCCACATTAATAACTTGAGCTCAGTGGGCTAACACAACCCAGGGTTCAAATCCCAGTCGATGGTGCTGAGACTCATGTTATCTCCCTGTATTAACACCTAGTCCTAAACTTTAGCTCAGTGGGCTAACACAGTCAGTCACCCAGTCTCACCTGTAGATGGCGCTGTCCTGTTTTTGGGCCACAGCCTTCAGGTCAGTGAGCAGGAGGAAGCGGTCGTGGAAGTAGTGAAGATGGAGGATACACACTAGGAGGAAGGAGGTGGGGATGAAGATACGTGTGAAGAGCATCGGTACAGAGAACGTCTCTAACCCCAGGTCCTCCAGTCTGGAGAGAGAGAGGAGGGCGGGGGGGGAGGAAGGGGGGGGGGGGGGGGGGGGGGGGGGGGGGTGCAGAGAGAGATCATTCTATGACAACTGTTATGGTCCATATGAAGCAATGATTGTCTGGGTATCCTCTAGCTTGGTACTGGATGGGCATATCTGGGCATATCTGGACGTATCTGGACGTATCTGGACATATCTGGACATATCTGGATATATGGATTTGGTAATCGGGCATACTGGCATATCTGGACATATCTGAAATTCGGCTACGGGCATATCTGCTATCGGTACCTATCTGGACATATCGGGACATACTGGAATATCTGGACATAACTTGGGATATCTGGCAATCGGGCATATCTGGGCATATCTGGACTATCTGGACATACTGGACATATTGGACATACCTGGACATATCTGGCATATCTGGGCATATCGGGCATATCGCTATCTGGCATATCTGGGCATATCTGGGCATATCTGGGCATATCTGGACATATCTGGACATATCTGGGCATATCTGGACGTATCTGGACGTATCTGGATGTATCTGGGCATATCTGGGCATATCTGGGAATATCTGGGCATATCTGGACATATCTGGGCATATCTGGGCATATCTGGGCATATCTGGACATATCTGGACATATCTGGGACATATCTGGGCATATCTGGGCATATCTGGGCATATCTGGACATATCTGGACATAACTGGACATACTGGACATATCTGGGCATATCTGGCATATCTGGACATATCTGGACATATCTGGGCTATCTGGGCATATCTGGACATATCTGGGACATATTGGGCATATCTGGACATATCTGGACATATCTGGACATATCTGGACATATCTGGGCATATCTGGACGTATCTGGACGTATCTGGATGTATCTGGACATATCTGGGCATATCTGGGCATATCTGGGCATATCTGGACATAACTGGACATATCTGGACATATCTGGGCATATCTGGACATATCTGGACATATCTGGACATATCTGGGCATATCTGGACATATCTGGACATATATGGGCATATCTGGACATATCTGGACATATCTGGACATATCTGGACATAACTGGGCATATCTAGGCATATCTGGACATATCTGGACATATCTGGACATAACTGGACATAACTGGACATACAGAAACATGTAGGCTGTCTGAGTATGGTAAAGGATATCAGAGGATATCACAGGATATCAGCAGGATATCAGAGGATATCTTGATATCAGTTAGTTCTTTAGGGTTAGGAGGGCTGCTACTACGACTCACTTCACTTTGCTCATTCCAGTAATGTTAGACCAGAAGGGTGGGGAGGTGTCAAACTGAAAGGTGTAGACCAGGATGAGGACCAGCATGGTGTAGACCACCACAGACATCCAGAAGTACTTCAGGATCCTCCTCCAATACTCATAGTGCACCTGGAGACAACACACACATCATGTTAGATGGGAACAGATGGGGACAACCTACAGACAGGTCAGATGGGTACCAATGGGGACAACCTACAGACACAGGTCAGATGGGAACAGATGGGGGACAACCCACAGACACAGGTCAGATGGGAACAGATTGGGACAACCTACAGACACAGGTCAGATGGGAACAGATGGGGACAACCTACACAGGTTGAGCTGGGGGGACAGTGACCGTCATCCCTCTTACTGTGTTGTCTTGCCAAGATCATTGAGTGAGGGATTAACGCGTGACCAGATCATTGAGTGAGGGATTAACGCGTGACCAGATCATTGAGTGAGGGATTAACGCGGACCCGATCATTGAGGATACGCGGACCAGATCATTGAGTGAGGGATTAACGCGTGACCAGATCATTGAGTGAGGGATTAACGCGTGACCAGATCATTGAGTGAGGGATTAACGCGTGACCAGATCATTGAGTGAGGGATTAACGCGTGACCAGATCATTGAGTGAGGGATAAACGCGTGACCAGATCATTGAGTGAGGGATTAACGCGTGACCAGATAATTGAGTGAGGGATTAACGCGTGACCAGATCATTGAGTGAGGGATTAACGCGTGACCAGATCATTGAGTGAGGGATTAACGCGTGACCAGATCATTGAGTGAGGGATTAACGCGTGACCAGATCATTGAGTGAGGGATTAACGCGTGACCAGATCATTGAGTGAGGGATTAACGCGTGACCGATCATTGAGTAGGGATTAACGCGTGACAGTCATCATTGAGTGATGGGGATTAACGCGTGACCAGATCATTGAGTGAGGGATTAACGCGTGACCAGATCATTGAGTGAGGGATTAACGCGTGACCATCCTGTGTGTATATATTGGCTAGTTTAGAGTTGTGAAAGAGGTGGGTGGAGGAGACAGTTGTCTTTCCACTGGTTTATTTTTCATCCAGAACAAGGCTTCCATACAGTAGCAGTTAACATGGCTGTCTAATGTCAACTTTTTGTTGCTACTTATTGCTGGATAACATCACTGGAATCCTCTACTCTGTAGTTTGAGTTGGAGAGTATGTGTGTGTGTGTGTGTGTGTATTAATTATTTTTTATTTCACCTTTATTTAACCAGGTAAGCCAGTTGAGAACAAGTTCTCATTTACAACTGCGACCTGGCCAAGATAAAGCAAAGCAGTGCGATAAAAACAACAACAACACAGAGTTATATATGGGGTAAAACAAAACGTACAGTGAAAAATACAATAGAAAATCTATATACAGTGTGTGCAAATGTAGTAAGTTATGGAGGTAAGGCAATAAATAGGCTATAGTGTGTGTGTGTGTGTGTGTGTGTGCGTGCGTGCGTGTGCGTGTGAGTGTGAGTGTGTGCGTGTGTGTGTGTGTGTGTCTGTGTGCGTGTGTGCGTGCGTGCGTGTATGTGTGTGTGTATCTGTATGTGTGTGTGTGTCTGTGTGTGTGTGTGTGTATCTGTATGTGTGTGTGTGTATGTGTGTGTGTGTGTGTATCTGTATGTGTGTGTATCTGTATGTGTGTGTGTGTGTATCTGTATTGTGTGTGTGTGGTGTGTGTTGTGTGTGTATCTGTTTGTGTGTGTGTGTATCTGTATTGTGTGTGTGTGTGTATCTGTTTTGTGTGTGTGTGTATCTGTTGTGTGTTGTTGTGTGTTGTATCTGTTTGTGTGTGTGTGTGTGTATCTGTGTGTTGTGTTATCTGTGTGTATGTGTGTGTGTTGTGTGTGTGTGTATCTTTGTGTGGTGTTTGTGTGTGTGTTATCTGTGTGTGTGTGTGTGTATCTGTTGTGTTTGTGTGTGTTCTGTGTGTGTGTGTACTGTGTGTTGTGTTGTTATCTGTGTGTTTTTGTGTGTATTGTGTGTGTTTGTGTGTGGTGTTGTTGTGTGTGTTGTGTTGTGTGTTTGTGTGTGTATCTGTGTGTGTGTTGTGTGTGTATTGTTGTGTTGTTGTGTATCTGTGTTGTGTTGGTTTTGTGTGTGTGTTTATTGTGTTGTGTTTGTTCTTGTTGTGTGTACTGTGTTGTGCACTCTGTAGTGTTTTTTGTTTGTGTTGTGTGAATCTGCAGCCACACAGAAGAGGAATAGCATCATGTAGATGATCTTGTAGATGACCATGCGTCCCTCGAAGCTGACGAGGAAGAACATTCCTCCACAGATATAGATCCAGTATTTCACCAGCATCTCCATCACCATGTTCCCCAGAACCTGCATGATGTCCTGCTCCACTCCCTCCTCATCCTCCTCTTCCTCTATAAACAAGGTTACCCACACAGAGAGGAGATAGTAGGTAAGTGGCCCTACTTGAAAAACAATTGCAGTGTGGATGACAGGATATTGTCGCATCATTTGCATTTGCTATAATGTTATTCCTGTGCTAGCGTTGCCTGAGACCTGAAGACCTGTTTTAGCTCCGTGAGCAAAAAAATCAATTATAAAATACATGTTTTATTGTCACATACACTGGATAGGTGCAGTGATATGTCTTGTTTTACAGGGTCTGCCATAGTAGTACAGTAACCCTGGAGCAAATTAGAGTTAAGTGCCTTGCTCAAGGGCACATTGACAGATATTTCACCTTGTCGGCTCGGGTATTTGAACCAGCGACATTTCGGTTACTGGCCCAACACTCCAACCGCTAGGCTACCTGCTGCCCTAAACTTGGATGCCTAAGCTTTAGCTAAGTGGGCTAACACAGTCTTGTGGCAGGCAGGAAACCCAGGTTTGAATCCAGTTGGTCACGCATGATAAAACATAGTGTATTATTGAGCAGCTGTAATGTTAGTTCTGACCCTTTAGCTCAGCGGGCTAACAGGACAGCACGGCTGGCCCTTAAATGTGCCCAGAACAGGGCAGCACGGCTGGCCTTTAAATGGCCCAGAACAGGGCAGCACGGCTGGCCCTTAAATGGCCCAGAACAGGGCAGCACGGCTGGCCTTTAAATGGCCCAGAACAGGACAGCACGGCTGGCCCTTAAATGTGCCCAGAACAGGGCAGCATGGCTGGCCCTTAAATGTGCCCAGAACAGGGCAGCTAATGGGGATCCATAATAAACCCCAGGAAGAGTAGCTGCTGCCTTGGCAGGAATTAATGGGGATCCATAATAAACCCCAGGAAGAGTAGCTGCTGCCTTGGCAGGAACTAATGGGGATCCATAATAAACCCCAGGAAGAGTAGCTGCTGCCTTGGCAGGAACTAATGGGGATCCATAATAAACCCCAGGAAGAGTAGCTGCTGCCTTGGCAGGAACTAATGGGGATCCATAATAAACCCCAGGAAGAGTAGCCGCTGCCTTGGCAGGAACTAATGGGGATCCATAATAAACCCCAGGAAGAGTAGCCGCTGCCTTGGCAGGAACTAATGGGGATCCATAATAAACCCCAGGAAGAGTAGCCGCTGCCTTGGCAGGAACTAATGGGGATCCATAAAACCCCAGGAAGAGTAGCCGCTGCCCTTGGCAGGAACTAATGGGGATCCATAATAAACCCCCAGGAAGAGTAGCCGCTGCCTTGGCAGGAACTAATAGGGATCCATAATAAACCCCCGGAAGATAGCTGCTGCCTTGGCAGTAACTAATGGGGATCCATAATAACCCCAGTAAGATTAGCCGCTGCCTTGGCAGGAACTATGGGGATCCATAATAAACCCCAGGAAGAGTAGCGCGCCCTGCCTTGGCAGGAACTAATGGGGATCCATACTAAACCCAGGAATAGTAGCCGCAGGCCTTGGCAGGAACTAATGGGGATCCATAATAAACCCCCAGGAATAGTAGCCGCTGCCTTGGCAGGAACTAATGGGGGATCCATAATAAACCCCAGGAAGAGTAGCCGCTGCCTTGGCAGACTAAAGGGGATCCTTAATAAACCCCAGGAAGAGTAGCCGCTGCCTTGGCAGGAACTAATGAGGATCCATAATAAATACAAATACAAAGCATAGTGTATTATTGAGCAGCTGTGATATTAGTTCTGACCCTTCTTCTTGGGTTGGTCATCCACATGTACATCAGTGAGTATAACAGCCTCCTCTCTCCGCTGCTCCTGTCTCTCTGTCAGAGTCTGTCTCAGCAGCAGCCAGAAGCTCACAGACACAGGATCTAGAGACAGATAACAGACATCATTACTGACACAGGATCTAGAGACAGAAAGCAGAACTCCTTTAATGTAACTCACAACATAAGACAAAATCACTTTTACCAGAAACACAGAAATCTGGACATAAAGACAGAGATGATCATACTTTCAATCATTAGCATAAAGACATATACTTTAATGTTCCCAGTTGCCTCAATAAGATGAATTGTCTTTTACAAGAGACCTGGTCCTAAATGCAACAGTTGCAGTACTTTCACATAGTCAGCAGTTCCACAATAAACATTTACATTTACGTCATTTAGCAGACGCTCTTATCCAGAGCGACTTACACATTGGTGAGTGTTCTATAAGAGTGACAGTTCTATAAGAGTGACAGTTCTATAAGAGTGACAGTTCTATAAGAGTGACAGTTCTATAAGAGTGACAGTTCTATAACAGTGACAGTTCTATAACAGTGACAGTTCTATAACAGTGACAGTTCTATAACAGTGACAGTTCTATAACAGTGACAGTTCTATAACAGTGACAGTTCTATAACAGTGACAGTTCTATAAGTGACAGTTCTATAAGTGACAGTTCTATAAAGTGCAGTTCTTAAGTGACAGTTCTATAACAGTGAGTTCTAAATGACTTCTATAAGAGTGACAGTTCTATAAGAGTGACAGTTCTATAACAGTGACAGTTCTATAACAGTGACAGTTCTATAACAGTGACAGTTCTATAAGAGTGACAGTTCTATAAGAGTGACAGTTCTATAACAGTGACAGTTCTATAAGAGTGACAGTTCTATAAGAGTGACAGTTCTATAACAGTGACAGTTCTATAACAGTGACAGTTCTATAACAGTGACAGTTCTATAAGAGTGACAGTTCTATAAGAGTGACAGTTCTATAAGAGTGACCGTTCTATAAAGTGACAGTTCTATAAGAGTGACAGTTCTATAACAGTGACAGTTCTATAACAGTGATAGTTCTATAACAGTGACAGTTCTATAAGAGAGACAGTTCTAAAACAGTGACAGTTCTATAAGAGTGACAGTTCTATAAGAGTGACAGTTCTATACAGTGACGTTCTATAACAGTGACAGTTCTATAACAGTGACAGTTCTATAAGAGTGACAGTTCTATAAGAGTGACAGTTCTATAAGAGTGACAGTTCTATAAGAGTGAGAGTTCTATAACAGTGACAGTTCTATAACAGTGACAGTTCTATAACAGTGACAGTTCTATAACAGTGACAGTTCTATAACAGTGACAGTTCTATAACAGTGACAGTTCTATAACGTGACATTTTCTATAAGAGTGACAGTTTATAACAGTGACAGTTCTATAAGAGTGACAGTTCTATAACAGTGACAGTTCTATAACAGTGACAGTTCTATAACAGTGACAGTTCTATAAGAGTGACAGTTCTATAACAGTGACATTTTCTATAACAGTGACAGTTCTATAAGAGTGACAGTTTCTATAGAGTGACAGTTCTATAACAGTGACAGTTCTATAAGAGTGACAGTTCTATAACAGTGACAGTTCTATAACAGTGACAGTTCTATAAGAGTGACAGTTCTATAAGAGTGCCAGTTCTATAAGAGTGACAGTTCTATAAGAGTGACAGTTCTATAAGAGTGACAGTTCTATAACAGTGACAGTTCTATAACAGTGACAGTTCTATAACAATGACAGTTCTATAAGAGTGACAGTTCTATAAGAGTGACAGTTCTATAACAGTGATAGTTCTATAACAGTGATAGTTCTATAACAGTGACAGTTCTATAAGAGTGACAGTTTCTATAAGAGTGACAGTTCTATAAGAGTGACATTTTCTATAACAGTGACAGTTCTATAAGAGTGACAGTTCTATAACAGTGACAGTTCTATAAGATGACAGTTCTATAAGAGTGACAGTTCTATAACAGTGACAGTTCTATAACAGTGACAGTTCTATAAGAACGACCGTTCTATAACAGTGACAGTTTCTATACCAGTGACAGTTCTATACAGTGACAGTTCTATAACAGTGACAGTTTCCATAAGAGTGACAGTTCTATAACAGTGACAGTTCTATAACAGTTGACAGTTCTATAACAGTGACAGTTCTATAACAGTGACAGTTCTATAAGAGTGACAGTTCTATAAGAGTGACAGTTCTATAAGATGACAGTTCTATAACGTGACAGTTCTATAACAGTGACAGTTCTATAAGAGTGACAGTTCTATAAGAGTGACATTTTCTATAAGAGTGACAGTTCTATAACAGTGACAGTTCTATAACAGTGACAGTTCTATAACAGTGACAGTTCTATAACAGTGACAGTTCATAACATGACAGTTTCTATAACAGTGACAGTTCTATAACATGACATTTTCTATAAGAGTGACAGTTCTATAAGAGTGACAGTTCTATAACAGTGACAGTTTCTATAACAGTGACAGTTCTATAACAGTGACAGTTCTATAAGAGTGACAGTTCTAAAACGAGTGACAGTTCTATAAGAGTGACAGTTCTATAACAGTGACAGTTCTATAAGAGTGACAGTTCTATAAGAGTGACAGTTCTATAAGAGTGACAGTTCTATAAGAGTGATAGTTCTATAAGAGTGACAGTTCTATAAGAGTGACAGTTCTATAAGAGTGACAGTTCTATAACAGTGACAGTTCTATAACAGTGACAGTTCTATAACAGTGACAGTTCTATAACAGTGACAGTTCTATAACAGTGACAGTTCTATAAGAGTGACAGTTTATAACAGTGACAGTTCTATAACAGTGACAGTTTATAACAGTGACAGTTCTAAAACAGTGACAGTTCTATACAGTGACAGTTCTATAAGAGTGACAGTTCTATAACAGTGACAGTTCTATAACAGTGACAGTTCTATAACAGTGACATTCTATAACAGTGACAGTTCTATAAGTGACAGTTCTATAAGAGTGACAGTTCTATAACAGTGACAGTTCTATAACAGTGACAGTTCTATAACAGTGACAGTTCTATAACAGTGACAGTTCTATAACAGTGACAGTTCTATAAGAGTGACAGTTCTATAACAGTGACAGTTCTATAACAGTGACAGTTCTATAACAGTGACAGTTCTATAACAGTGACAGTTCTATAAGAGTGACAGTTCTATAAGAGTGACAGTTTCTATAACAGTGACAGTTCTATAACAGTGACAGTTTCTATAACAGTGACAGTTCTATAAGAGTGACAGTTCTATAAGAGTGACAGTTCTATAAGATGACAGTTCTATAACAGTGACAGTTCTATAACAGTGACAGTTCTATAACAGTGACATTTTCTATAACAGTGATAGTTTCTATAAGAGTGACAGTTCTATAACAGTGACAGTTCTATAAGGGGTGACAGTTCTATAACAGTGACAGTTCTATAAGAGTGACAGTTCTATAACAGTGACAGTTCTATAAGAGTGACAGTTCTATAACAGTGACAGTTCTATAACAGTGACAGTTCTATAACAGTGACAGTTCTATAAGAGTGACAGTTCTATAACAGTGACAGTTCTATAAGAGTGACAGTTCTATAACAGTGACAGTTCTATAACAGTGACAGTTCTATAACAGTGACAGTTCTATAAGAGTGACAGTTCTATAACAGTGACAGTTCTATAACAGTGACAGTTCTATAACAGTGACAGTTCTATAACAGTGACAGTTCTATAAGAGTGACAGTTCTATAACAGTGACAGTTCTATAACAGTGACAGTTCTATAAGAGTGACAGTTCTATAAGAGTGACAGTTCTATAAGAGTGACAGTTCTATAACAGTGACAGTTCTATAACAGTGACAGTTCTATAAGAGTGACATTTTCTATAAGAGTGAGAGTTCTATAGAGTGACAGTTCTATAACAGTGACAGTTCTATAAGAGTGACAGTTCTATAACAGTGACAGTTTATAACAGTGACATTCTAAAACAGTGACAGTTCTATAACAGTGACAGTTCTATAAGAGTGACAGTTCTATAACAGTGACAGTTCTATAACAGTGACAGTTCTATAACAGTGACAGTTCTATAAGAGTGACAGTTCTATAACAGTGACAGTTCTATAACAGTGACAGTTCTATAACAGTGACAGTTCTATAACAGTGACAGTTCTATAACAGTGACAGTTCTATGACAGTGACAGTTCTATAACAGTGACAGTTCTATAACAGTGACATAACAGTTCATTCTTCCAGTTCCATTGAATTACCTTGGAACCCAGTTGGCTGAAGGGCACGTCCATCTTGAGGATGAGGCCAGGTACTGGCTTTAGAAGCTCAAAGCTCCAGATGTACTGCAGCACCATCAGCAGGTTCCCATACAGCACCATGAAGGGAGAGGTTAGCATGGTGTAGCGACGACGCTCCCTCACCATCCACAACATACACGACCACATCAGGAACACAAACGTCAGCCAGCTAACATACGTGATGCTCCACGCCTGTGAACAGAGAGGGGGAAAAGGAGGAGAGGGAGAGAGAGAGAGGGAAAGAGAGATAGAGAAAGGAAAAGAGACTAGAGAGAGAAGAGAGAGAGACAGAAGAGCGAAGATAGAAGAGACAGAGAGAGAGAGAGAGAGAGATAGACGAGACGAGAGAGAGAGAGAGAGAGAGATATAGAGAGAGAGAGAGAGAGAGAAGAGAGAGAGAGATACATATAATAGATAATAGATGATAGCTAGATAGATTTAATTAGATATGAGAGACTTCATCATTATCTCTAATCTCTCTGCACATCTCTCTTCTTCTATCTTCTATCATCTCGATCTCTAGATATATATAATATATATATACAATATATATAATATATATATACACTATATATATATATTATATATATTATATTCATATATATAATATATACTTTTATATAATATATATATAACATATACATATATATATATATATATATATATATCTATATATATATATATATATATATATATATATAATATATATACAAATATATATATATATATCTCTCTATATAAAATCTATATATATATATATACTATACTATATATATATCTATATATACTATAAATCTATATATATATATATATATTATATATATATATATATATATATATTTATATTATATATATATATAATCTATACATATATTATAGATAGATATATATATAATATATAATACATATATAATCAAACTTCCCCACCCCTCTGAGTCTACAATTCCTCAAAAAAAACATAGGTAGACCTAGTATGATCCCGATCACAAAAACAGTTTATAGTAAGTTAGGCTATACAATGTTGATTTACTGTTTAATGGATTTCATTTTTTTGAAAAGTGAGGCGAGCAAATAAAAATATAAAATTCTAAAACAACCTTAGTACATCACCTAGTGACCTTCCCAAGCGATTTTAGCATTTTGGTATAATGATTTTGTAATGACAGTCACAGGGACCAGTCCTGGTCAGGGTAACTAGCATCTATTGAGTTGCAATATCCCATACATTGGATGCCCAAATCAACTGGAAATATCTACAAAACAAGTTTTGCAGCCACATAATCCAAAAGGAAGGCTACAGCTCAATTACTGTTCGTGATTCACAGATGACTAATTTTATTCACATGATTCGATTCACCGCAATTGAACTGAATTCCAACTACTACAGTGGGGAAGTGTATAGTTTGTTTCGTCCAAAATAATCGTTCATGATTCATATGAATGAAATTAATTGTTAAAAACAAAAATGGGGGGAAGAAATGTGAAGCAGGGAATTTTTTAAACAGTAAATCAACTTCGTTAGGCCTTGTCAGACTGCATACAGTATGCTTTCTTTAGCCTTGACGTGAGCACAGTCACCAGAGTCACCAGAGGGACCACAGTCACCAGGAGGACCACAGTCACCAGGGGGACCACAGTCACCAGAGGGACCAGAGGGACCACAGTCACCAGGAGGACCACAGTCACCAGGGGGACCACAGTCACCAGGAGGACCACAGTCACCAGAGTCACCAGAGGGACCACAGTCACCAGGAGGACCACAGTCACCAGAGGGACCAGAGTCACCACAGTCACCAGGGGGACCACAGTCACCAGGGGGACCAGAGTCACCAGGGGGACCACAGTCACCAGAGGGACCAGAGTCACCACAGTCACCAGGGGGACCACAGTCACCAGGGGGACCAGAGTCACCAGGGGGACCAGAGTCACCAGGGGGACCACAGTCACCAGGGGGATCACAGTCACCAGGGGGACAACAGTCACCAGGGGGACCACAGTCACCAGGGGGACCACAGTCACCAGAGGGACCACAGTCACCAGGGGGGCCAGAGTCACCAGGGGGACCACAGTCACCAGGGGGACCACAGTCACCAGGGGGACCACAGTCACCAGAGGGACCACAGTCACTGTGTTTACTCACCATCATGGCTATGAGAGCACAGATATAGCTCTGCTTCATAATGAACCTGAACACTGTTACAACAGCATTCACTCTGCCCTCCTTCCCCTCTTCCTCCTCATCCCCCTGTTCCTTCTCCTCCTCCTCCATCCCAGCAGTCTCTCCTCCCAGGGTTGGACTGACATCGTACACACCTCCATCCTTCTTCTCTGTTTAGATAAAGATATACAGATATCCAGATATGTTATTTAGTACATCTACAGTACATACAGAAGGTATAGTATAAAGAGAAATAGTAATGGCGTCTTTTTGTAGTCACCAACGGTGGCTAACTCTGCCTTGGCTCGTTGGGTAAAGCCTATGTGGAAATGAATGGGTTTTCTGGAGGGGTTTTGGATGAACTCTGAAAATAAGGTCTGTGGTAAACACAGGCTTAGATAATATACATGTTATTCTATGAGATAATCTTCATAAGCTAATGTCACTTTTTTGTGAATTTTGAAGCATTTACGATATCAAAATAAGCACATAAAGCTTCATAATTCATAAAGGACATGTTAACTGACTGATATTATCTCATAGAACCAAAACGTATAAGATCTCCTAAGCCTGTGTTAACCTCAGACCTTATTCTCAGCGTTTATCCCAAAACCCCATTCTTTCCCCATTCATTTCCCCCCATAGAAATGGCTGAACAAGAAGTTTCAGTCCCGGCTTTTAGGACCACCAACTGGCGAGCTGTACAGCACCCTATTGCCTTTATAGCGCACTACTATTGACCAGGGCCCAGTTCACTAAAACTCAATTTCCTCCTCACAGAAATTGTGCCGCAGATTAAAACATTTCACAGTGCGTTTGCTCACAGCACGTGTTGCGAGCAGAAGCTTTTGCCCAGTGTGTGCACAGTACAGTAAAAACCCACCTTTGATGTTATTGGTTTGGTCCATTTTATACTGTGGGGTGGAGTACAGGTCCAGACAGACCGGTCTATTCTCCCCCGAGTTTAGGGTGGAGATGTCATAAGACGTCCCGTTGGACTTTGCAGCCAACCCCTGTGGAACAACACAACAACAACAATACGGACTAGGGTTAGGGCCCGGAGGTTTTCCTGGTCAAGTCATGAGACCATTTGTTTCATACGCAGCATAGCAAGTTACAGTGCAGAACATGTGGCAGTCGCGTCAAAGGGATAATATATGCGTATTTGTGCTACAGTCTAGTACGGTACCTACCTCAGATGTACTGTAGCCATCCTGGGTAGAAAGCAGCTAAAATGAGAAAAGAGGAAACAGGCAAGGAGAGGCAGAGAGGTAGAGAGAGGCAGAGATAGGCAGAGAGAGGCAGAGAGAGGCAGAGAGAGGTAGAGAGAGGTAGAGAGAGGTAGAGAGAGGCAGAGATAGGCAGAGAGAGGCAGAGAGAGGTAGAGAGAGGCAGAGATAGGCAGAGAGAGGCAGAGAGAGGCAGAGAGAGGCAGAGAGAGGTAAGAGAGGGCAGAGATAGGCAGAGAGAGTGCAGAGAGAGGGCAGAGAGAGGCAGAGAGAGGTAGAGAGAGGTAGAGAGAGGTAGAGAGAGGCAGAGATAGGCAGAGAGAGGTAGAGAGAGGCAAGAGAGGTAAAGCGAGGTAGAGAGAGGCAGAGAGAGGTAGAGAGAGGCAAAGAGAGGTAAAGCGAGGTAGAGAGAGGTAGAGAGAGGTAGAGAGAGGTAGAGAGAGGCAGAGAGAGGCAAAGCGAGGTAGAGAGAGGTAGAGAGAGGTAGAGAGAGGTAGAGAGAGGCAGAGAGAGGTAGAGAGAGGTAGAGAGAGGTAGAGAGAGGCAAAGAGAGGTAAAGCGAGGTAGAGAGAGGCAAAGAGAGGTAAAGCGAGGTAGAGAGAGGTAGAGAGAGGTAGAGAGAGGCAGAGAGAGGTAGGGAGAGGTAGAGAGAGGCAGAGAGAGGCAGAGAGAGGTAGGGAGAGGTAGAGAGAGGTAGAGCGAGGCAGAGAGAGGCAGAGAGGTCAGAGAGAGGTAGAGAGAGGCAGAGAGAGGCAGAGAGAGGTAGAGAGGTAGAGAGAGGCAGAGAGAGGTAGAGAGAGGTAGTGAGAGGTAGAGAGAGGTAGAGAGAGGTATAGAGAGGTAGAGAGATGTAGAAGGTAGAGGAGAGGGGTAGAGAGAGTTAGAGAGAGGTAGAGAGAGGCAGAGAAATGTAGAGAGGCAGAGAGGGCAGAGAGAGGTAGAGAGAGGCAGAGAGAGGTAGAGAAGGTAGAGAGAGGCAGAGAGAGGCAGAAAAGGTAGAGAGAGGTAAGAGAGGTAGAGAGAGGAGGTAGAGAGAGGTAGAGAGAGGTAGAGAGAGGTAGAGAGAGTAAAGAGAGAGGTAGAGAAGGCAGAGAGAGGTAGAGAGAGGTAGAGAAGGCAGAGAGAGGAGAGAGAGGAGAGAGGTAGAGAGAGGCAGAGAGCAGAGAGAGGTAGAGAAGGTACGAGATGTAGATAGTAGGGAGAGGTAGAGAGAGTCAGAGAGAGGCATAGAGATGGTAGAGGAGGAGTAGAGAGAGGCAGAGAGAGGTAGTAGAGATGGGCAGAGAGAGGCAGAGAGAGGCAGAGAGAAGTAGAGATATGTAGAGAGAGGCAGATAGAGGCAGAGAGAGGCAGAGAGAGGCAGAGAGAGGCAGAGAGAGGTAGAGAGAGGCAGAGAGAGGTAGAGAGCGGTAGAGAGAGGCAGAGAGAGGCAGAGAGAAGTAGAGAGATGTAGAGAGAGGCAGATAGAGCGAGAGAGGCAGAGAGAGGTAGAGAGAGGTAGAGAGAGTTAGAGAGAGGTTAGATAGAGGCAGAGAGAGGAAAGAGAGGCAGAGAGAGGCAGAGAAAAGGTAGAGAGAGGTAGAGAGAGGTAGAGAGAGGTAGAGAGAGGTAAAAAGAGGCAGAGAGGCAAAAAGAGGTAGAGAGGCAGAGAGAGGTGAAAAGAGGTAGAGAGAGGAAGAGAGAGGTAGAGAGAGGCAGAGAGAGGTAGAGAGGTAGAGAGAGGTAGAGAGAGGTAGAGAGAGGTAGAGAGAGGTAGAGAGAGGTAGAGAGAGGCAGGAGGGGTAGAGAGAGGTAGAGAGAGGTAGAGAGAGGCAGAGAAAGGTAGGGAGCGTTAGAGAGAGGCAGAGAGAGGAAAAGAGAGGTAGAGAGAAGCAGAGAGAAGTAGAGAGAAGGAAGGAGAGGTAAGGAGAGGTAAAGAGCATGGCCCTCCAGCTATGTGGTCAGTAAAATGACATTGCTGATCTAAGGATTCCTGTTTTATCTTTCAACCAATAATCGATAGTTTATAATGCATTAAAAATACCCTGAGGTGAAGTTACCCCGAGGTGAATTAAGGTCATGGAGTGTTATACGCAATGTAATCTTGGCCTTTTATATGTATTGCTGAACTATGCTTCACAATCTACCCAATGATCAATAGTTATAACGCATTAACAAAGAACGTATTAATTCAGAAATAAAGCAAGGTCAATTTTCATAAGGTTCTTTTCTTTTCTCTCCTCGTCGTTGGTGACTTTCCACCACCTGTCTCCTTTTGTCACAGAGTTCCTGGTGCCTTTCCCAAAACCCACCTCCTTTTCCCCCTCCCTCCTTTCCCTCCCTTCCTCATCCCCTAGAAAAAAAGGGGTTAGATGGAAATGGACAGCAACGGGGAGGGGGGCTTATGGGGAGTTTAAAAACACAAAAAAGATATTCGGCCCCATTCCTCAACTGCAGAAAACTCAGACGTTTTTCTTTATTATAAACAGTCTCCAACTGGGTCTGACGACTCTGAAAACCGCCCTCGCTGTTTGGGGACTACCATCATCTATTTACCAGCCACTACAGCCCCTATAGTACAGGGCCTATTGATCATGTAGTTGGATGGGTAGAGGCTTGTCTCTCTGTAACGTTTTATTTAACCCCCGTTTATGGGGGGAAAAAACCTATACAGGGATCAATAATGTCTCCCCCCCCCCACCCACCCCCGCCTCACCACCAGCCCCACCCCGCCTCACCACCAGCCCCCGCCCCGCCCCCCCCCCCCACCCCAGCCTCACCCCCACCTCACCCCACCCCACCCCCCCTCACCACCCCCACCCCACCTACCCCCCCTCACCCCCCACCCCACCCCACCCCCCCCACCCCCAGCCTTCCCTCAGCCCCACCCTGAGCCCCCGCCCCAGCCCAACCCCCCCGTTCCCCAGCCCACCCATTCTCACCCCAGCCCCGCCCATCCACCAGCCCCCGCCTCACCCCCACCTTTTCCCTCACCCCACCCCAGCCCCACCTCACCCCAGCCCCATTCTCAGCCCCCCCCCCAGTTTTCAGCCCCCCCCCACCTCACCCCACCCCAGCCCCAGCCCACCCCAGCCCCACCCCACCCCACCCCACCCCCACCCCCCCTCACCCCGCCCGAGCCCCAGCCCTGAACCCCCTCCCCACCCTGAACCCCCCCTCACCTAGTTCTCAGCCCCAGCCCCGTTCCCCCCAGCCCCAGTTCTCAGCCCCGCCCCAGTTCTCATCCCAGCCCCACCTCACCCCCCCCCATTCTCAGCCCCAGCCCCAGTTCTCAGCCCCACCCCCGCCCCAGTTTTTCACCCCAAACCCCCGCCCCGCCCTGACCCCGGCCCCCGCCCCGAGCCCCCCCCAAAGGGTTTTCGGAAGGGATTGTCCTCTTTATATACCACTGTCTTTTACAATACCCTTATAAAAAAGAGAAGGGGGTGGGGGCAAAAAATTTTTGAAAGGGGGGAAAGAAGAAGAAGAAGAGGAGAGGAGAGAAAAAGAGAGAGAAAGACCCCTCCCCCAAAATTTTTAAAAAAAAAAACCCCCCCCCCCCTTTTTTCCCACCCCCTTTTTAAAAAAGAAAAAAAAGAAAAAATAAAAAAGAAAAAAAAAAAAAAAAAAAAAAATTTAAAAAAAACCAAAAAAAAAAAAAAGCTAATAAAAAAAAAAAAAAAAAAGTTTAAAA